CGTTTGAGTGGGAGGATTTTCCTTCCCTCCCTCCAAACGTCCAGCGCCGGTCACAGCTGGAAACCTCTTATTAGACGCTGCCTTTGGGGAGAGCAAGCCTTGCGGCAAGACGGGCAGAGCCATGCAACCGCGAGGGCATCCCCCAGACCCCCTGTGCCGTGAGCAGACAGGGTTGAGCCGGCCCCCGCGTCCCTCCGCTGCTGATGCTCGGTGACATCCCTCCCGCTGGCTCCTCCGGCAGCCCGGGCGCCTCTGCCTGCCGGTCACCGCTGACTCAGGGCTGCACGCCGGCGCTTGACAGTGCTGGGCGTGTGAGCCTGGGTGTACTTCCCCGCTCCTCCCAGTATCTCCAGGAGGATTGGCCGGGAATCGCGGCCAGGCTGCGCCGTAGATGGCTGCCAGCGGGGCCCTGCGCCGGGCTCTGACCGGCCGCCACCGGCCGAGGGAGGGGACTGGAGATGCTGAGTGGTAAAGCTGCTCCGTAGCCTGATCTGCATGGCGGGGTGGAGCGGTGCCCCGGTGTCACCGGTGGGCTCCACTTCCAGGCAGAGAGCCCTGGGAGAGGGTGCCCGGGCTGCCGAGCCACCCACTGAACCCCAAAACACTGCAGGCCCTTGCTCTTCGGGGCTGCCGTGTGGGCACACAGTAACAGGCTGGGGGGGATTTGGGATGGGTGGATGCGGGGCATTGCCGTGGGGGTTCTGGCTTTGATTCCCAGCCTGGTCCTGGGATGTCTGTGCTCCGGGCTTGCACGGGGCTGTTAGCTGTGCTGCCGCAGAGGTGCCTGCTCTGTCTGATGGGGGCAAGTCTCTGAAGAGCCCCAGGGACTGGGGGTTTGGGCATGTGGCTTTGGTGCTGCCATATTTTAGGAAATCCCTATTTAGTGAAATGCCTGTTCTCCCTCCTGTGCAGCTTCCCTCTTGCCAGAGGAGGATTTCAAGGTATAGGCAGGCCTTGTACAGGGATGGGGGCATTTTGTCCTGCATGGGCTCAGGCTTGTGCAAGCTGTGGTACCTGCAAGAAACGCAGGTGAGCTGCATCAGATGCGCATCCCCCAGGGTTCGGCCAATTCTCCCCATGCTGCTGTGGGGGAAGGACGGCTCGCTGCCTGCTCCCTGCCAGCTTTGGGAGGGAGGTGTGCTCTCCCAAGGCTCCGTCCTTGGTGCTCTTATCTTCCCTGCCTGCGTTATCTCTGCCTAAGCCCATCTGCAAACAAGAATTTGCAACCTGTCTCGTGCCGGTGACACGCCTGCGCTGCCACTCCGCTCCTGGCAGAGGCTGCGTGTCTGGTGGCTCTGGTGGGATGGGGGCTGCAGCCCCTGCCCTCGCCCGGCATCTCGCTTTTCCTGGCCGCCCTGCAGTGCTGGGCTGCATGGCACCGTGGAGTGCGGTGCAAAGACCTTTCCGAAGTTATCTGGCATTACCCGAACATCCCTGGAGCTGGCTGGGGGTCTGGAAAGGACTTGGGGCTGGGAATTTGAAGGAAGAACAGCATCAAAGCCAGTTTGGTCCTGAATCGTGAGCACAGCCTGTGTCCTCTTGCAGCAGAGGTGTCGGAGTAGGGCCCTGGCAGTGGCAGCCGGCTGCATCCCTGTTGCTGACTCCTGCGCTTTTGTTATGAATTTCGTAATGTTTTTGGGCTTATCTGAAGCGCCGACAGCCGGAGTCGGAGGAGCGCGTGACAGTCTGTGGGGTGGGGGGAGCCTGCCTCTCCCCTCCCTCTCCAGCACAAGCGATGCATGGTGTTAGGCAGAGCCTGGGAATTGCTGGGGGTTTATTGATTCGTCTTTCCCAATCCTGTAACTGTGGAGCGAATCGGGCAGGAGTTTTTGGTGTGGAGGCATCCCTGGTACTCGGAAGAGTCTCAGGCTGAAAGCAGCACGGGGCTTTGTGCAGTGGGGTGGACCGGCCAGAACCTCTCCTGAAAAGCAAGGCAGGAAGGTCCCCTGTGTCATCCTCTGACCTGCAGCGCGGCTGTGTCCTGCCTGCCCCCCCCACGTGTTTGGGGGTGCTGGGGGTGTGGCAGGGAGCTTAGCCACCGTTTGCAGCGCAGGCTGTCGGGAGCCCACATGCGCTGCGGAGGAGATCGGTGCTGGTAGTGGTGATTTGCAAAGTGTTTACCTGGTTCCCCGTGCTCCTCGACAGTGCTTCTCCCTCGAGGAGGACGACCTGAACTTAATGTCGCTGGATGCAGAAACCATCTTGGAGGCCGAAGAGATCCTGGGGACAATGCAGAACTATCTTGACTCCTCTGTGATCTCCATCATCGAGGACCTTTCTCTGAGCGAGGTGGGAGCCCATGTGCGAGTGCGGGAAGCAGTGGCTGGGCTGGCTCTGGCTGTGGCATGGGTGGGGGTGGCAGCAGCATCCCCCATGTCCGGGTCCCGTGGCCGTGCCCCGCTGCCCTCTGAGACCACTACTGCCCTTGCAGCACGGCAAGGCCTGCCTGGATGCGCAGAACGAGCTGTCCCTGCTGACTGCCATCACTGAGATTCTGGACAGCACGGACGACGAGACCCTGTCCCCCTTTGACACCATCATGGATGCAGAACTGCTGACCTCGCCTCGGGAGCGGGAGAATCCCTCGGTGAGTGGTGGCGCAGAGCCAGCCCAACCCCAAAACGGGTGGGATGATGCTCAGGCAGGGCTCTGCCGAGCCCCTTCCTGCCAGGTCCTGGCACGGGGGTGCCCCGAGGTGGTGGGACCCTGGTCCCCTGCATCCTGGGACGATCCCTGTGACCAGCAACATGAGAGAAGGGCTGAGCCAGCCCTGGACATCCCCAGGGCTCCTGTGCGGGCTCGGGGGGCCATTGCCTTTGCCTTGGGTCTTGGTGTAGAGCCAGAGGTGTGCCGGAGGCTCCGGGAAGCAGCATATCCCCCTGTGCATGACCAACCGGGGGGCTGCACGTGCCGTGGGTGAAATGCGGCTGAGCTTGCTCCCGGGCTCTGCGGGATGACATGCGTGGCTGCTGCAGGGCCAGGGGTGGCCTGTCCCCTCTGGCAGCAGAAACCTGCTGCTGCCTCATGCTCTGTCTGCCTTCTCTCCAGTTTCAGAAGTTTCTCAGCTTATCCCGGCCGTCGCTGGAGTGCGAGAGCCCTGCCCTGGAGCAGCCCAAGGCTCTCAGGCCTCTGAGCAGCAGCAGCAGCAGCGTCTCTGTGGTTGGGAAGGTGAGCAGCTGAGCAGGGGAAGCTGAAGGACCGGTGTCAGGGTGGTGCTGGGATAAATGTGTCCCTGCTGCTGCCGCCCCCTGGCCCCTGCCTACCCTCCTGGCGCAGGCATCCTCTCCCAGAAGCAATGCCTTTGCAGGGCACCAGTGGCAGTGGGAGCAGGGGCTGCCCTGGCTGGTGGGTGCTGTGGGACTGGGGATGCTGTGGATGCCCCTGTAGGTGTGGTGGATTTCCAGCTCTGTTGTGTCTTGCTGGGGGAGGTCAAATGCCTTCCAGCTTTTCATCTGCCCGGGGGCTTTGCTGCAGAGTTGCAGCAGACCCACAATTGGCTGTGCCTGGGGTCTCAGGTGAAAGCCCAGGAGCTGACACTCGCTCTGGTTCCCCTTCCCAGACTGACACAGACCTGGCCTGGGACCATGCCACTCACGGCCTCGAGGACCCAGCACTGCCGAAGAAGCAAGTCTGCAGCACCCCGAGGGTGGAGAGGAAGCTGGGATGGCACCGGGCCCGAGAGCAGCCCCTGCCACAGCGCAGCGACGGGGAGGAAGAGGAGGAGGAGGCTGCCTTGAGCCCAGAGCTAGACAGCAGCCTGGAAGCTGCAGAGTTTTGCATGAGTGGGGCCGGGGTGGCACTGGAGGAGCGTGAAGACCCCTGCATCATCAACACGGGTGACGTGTCCCTGAGTGAGCTGGTGAAGTCCATGCACCCCTACTGCCTGCCCACTTTCACTGTGTGCCTGGACCCCGAGACCGAGCCTGTGGCCAAGGAGCTCCTCAGCGGTCCCGTCTTGCTGGAAATTGTGCCTGGTGAGGGGGAGAGTGTGGAGATCCCTGTTGTACTGCAGCCGCTGGCCCCCAGCTTCCCTGACCAGGAGCCCCAGCTCCTGGGAGCAGAGGAGGGTACCGGAGAGTCAATCCCAGAGGATCGAGAGGAGCTGCCAGGAGCTCCAGCCCAGGAAAACGGGATGGAGGAGGAGAAGGAGGAGAGACCGCCTGGGAAGGAGCCCTCCTTCACTACCCCAGAGAGCACGTCCCCACCGGAGACAGCAGCACCCAGGGCCTGGAGCCCTGACAGCAGCTCCCGGTGCAGCACAGAGGCACCGGCAGGCAGCAAACGCGAGGGCACCGAGAAGGGACGTGGCCGTGAGAGAGCAAGGAAGAGTCGGAAAAAGAAAGCAGAGGAGGACCAAAGCGAGCAGGCCAGGCCAGGCAGGGACTGCGTGGCCCACTGGCTCCGCTCGGCCGGCTCCGGGCAGCCCCCA